CTAGCCACCTTTTCGTGCGAAAAGATTATTGGTAGATTTGCTGGCCATCATTGAAGAGGCGGGTAGGAAGGTATGTTCTGGGCGAATGTGAGTTATGGCGGGAAGAGAACACGGTTTAACCAGAGCAGAAAGAAGCCCGAGGTTACGTTTAGTCAGTGGCACTATATCTCGTCGGAACGAGTTCCTCGTTTCGTCCCCTGGGATAAAGATAGAACAGAAAAAAAAAAAAGTTGATTGGTGCTGAAAACGGTGGAAGAGAGAGAGAGAGAGAGAGAGAGAGAGAGAGAGAGAGAGAGTTTGAGAGAGAGGGAGTGAGGGAGAAGCCGAAACACTCTAAGAGGGAATCAGTCAAATAAACCAATATTTGTTCAGAAAGAAAGAAAAAAAAAATGAAATTCAGAAAACAAAAACAACTTTGTAGAGAATAAAAACATATACAGCAAATATATATATATATATATGATATCTCTAAATAATTTCAAATGAAGTGCCAAAAAAGGATAATTGAGAGGACACTGGATATGTTCGTCCCTAATCCAATATAGACCAAACCAGATAATGCATATGCAACGAAATATGTAAAGAGGCAGTGTAGCTGTGGCAATCATGAAAAACGGACAGCATTTAAAAGCATTTGGCGACGAAATGTTTGTTGGGGCAAAAACGATTGAGCGGTATTTCAGAAAGAAACAACACGTTATGAAGGAGCTGTCACTAATTTTGTAGCACTTCAATTTATGAACAAAGTTTTGAGTGTAGAAAAAAACAACTATCTTTTATGAGGTAATGAACAGATTAGAGATTACACTATTAAATAAGGAATATTGAAATTTTCCATTTAACCATTTGATAGAAAGAAAGAAAGAAAGAAAGAAAGAAAGAAAGAAAGAAAAGAAAGAAAGAAGTTGGTAGGCATCAGTCTATGGCGTTCTTTACTAAAGCCCAAGTTATAGTACAACTTTCGCCCAGAACAGCAGACCTATCTCAAATCTCGTCGTTCCACTGGGAGAGAAGATTCTTAATTTCAGTAAGGGTTAACGGTAGTTCGCTGATGTAGTTGAGTTGAGAATTTTGGCTCTTTATATTTGGAAAATATTGAAATAAGTAAAAGATTCTTTTATTTTTCCATTATTCGGACTATTGTCCTCATCTTTATTACAACGTTTCGGCCGTTGTACGCTCCTTCTTCAGGTGGTTGAAATGTCGTACGGAACACTTTATTTCTCTCACTGGGGTAGACTGTTCTAGTTCCACGTGCCATGTTTTAATGGATGTCAGTTATCTTCTGTTAATTCCCCTCTGAATGTTCTCCACTGCCTTAACCGGGTATTGAACTCACACTCTTTGGGTCCCGTCAACCAACGCCTTTATCCACTGTGCCATGTGTCCTTGTTTTATTTTGATTCCCTTCAGACTTGCTATATTATTTTATGTTTTCATTTAAAAAGACAAATTGTGCGTGAAATTCCCTAAAACATGTAATTTAGAAAACTTGGTCTTGTTAGTATGAATTTAATTTTACGTATTTTTTTACTCCAAGTTAATTTAATCTTCTCGCTTAAATTATTAATCATAAAATCAAATACACTAATGATCAACTTCAGCTTAAACTGCATTTTTGTTTCTAACAAACTAAAAGAAAAAGTGTGTTTAATTTTTACCTCGCTTCTTATACTGAAATTTAAGGTTTTATATTTACAAGAAAGTGTATTCTAGTAACACTGTACTATATTTCATTTTTAACAAACTTTTATTCCAAAAGCTTTTTTTCCATTATATTTTTGCACTGCGAAATTTGTTTAAAAATGTTATTATTCATTGCAGAAAGTTAAGGTTTTTCTCTGTGATAATATTATGCATAACAACAGATATATTGACGATAAAATTAATTTTTTATGAGTAATTTGTGCTTTAATATTTAAAGATATTTTTTCAAAAAATGTTTTGAATTTTAGTTTAGTTTAGTTTTAGAAAAACAAAAAAGGATCAAACGTGATATTCTATACGGGAATTAAGGGAATATCATTTATTAAGAACGTTGTCATGTAAAGTTAATTTCTCTGGGGGACTTTATCAAAACAAATGTAAGAATTTTATTTTGTGACAAGTACTTATATACAAGAGCGAAAATGTTATTGCCTTTTCATATATATATATATATATATATATATATATATATATATATGGCTTTTCAATTTTTGTGATTTCAATTTAATTTACATAATGTGGACAAACAGGCTTATGTATATGTATTTGTGTGTGTATGTACATATCATGATTACATAGATAGATAGATAGATAGATAGATAGATAGATAGATAGATAGATAAGTTGAGACAAACAGATAGACATAGACAGACAGATAGACATAGACAGACAGACAGACAGATAGATAGATAGATAGATAGATAGATAGATAGATAGATAGATAGATAGATATAAACACGATCATATAGACATGAAAAGAAACACATAGATATATTGATAAATAGATAGAGAGAGAAAAAGAGACAGACATACAGACAGTCAGACAGATAGATAGATAGATAGATAGATAGTTAGATAGATAGATAGATAGATAGATAGATTGAGACAAACAGATAGATAGATAGATAGATAGATAGATAGATAGATATAAAGAGAAATACATAGGTAGACATGAACAGAATCACATAGATAGATAGGTAGACAGACAGACTGATAGATAGATAGAGACAGACAGACAGACATAGATAGATAGATAGATAGATAGATAGATAGATAGATAGATAGATAGATATAAACACGATCATATAGACATGAAAAGAAACACATAGATATATTGATAAATAGATAGAGAGAGAAAAAGAGACAGACATACAGACAGTCAGACAGATAGATAGATAGATAGATAGTTAGATAGATAGATAGATAGATAGATAGATAGGTTGAGACAAACAGATAGATAGATAGATAGATAGATAGATAGATAGATAGATAGATTGATATAAAGAGAAATACATAGGTAGACATGAACAGAATCACATAGATAGATAGGTAGACAGACAGACTGATAGATAGATAGAGACAGACAGACAGACATAGATAGATAGATAGATAGATAGATAGATAGATAGATAGATAGATAGATAGATATAAACACGATCATATAGACATGAAAAGAAACACATAGATATATTGATAAATAGATAGAGAGAGAAAAAGAGACAGACATACAGACAGTCAGTCAGACAGATAGATAGATAGATAGATAGATAGATAGATAGATAGATAGATAGATAGATAGATATGGGGAAGAATCAGGTAAATAGAAGAGAGTAATATTTCTTGTCAGGAACTTGTCATCGACAGATGGTGTAACCGGAGGGTATTTTTGTCAATTCTTTGAATTGGACACCGAGACTCAAGTAAGGCTTCTGAACAAAGACCTCGAGTAAATCTAGATTATACGCTTTCTTCTGGTTGTCGGTATTAAAGTCGGGCTAAAATTGTGAATCGTGTTGGCAGAACACCTTGCCTGACATCAATTCGGAAACGTCAAGAATCATGAAGATATAGAACGGATTGAATTATATATTTACGCGGGGTCTGCAAAAGTTTTGAAAACAAACGAACTTGCTTCGTATTCCGAGGCTAAAAAAAATTGATTAAATGAAACAAAAAAAAAAAAAATATATATATATATCCATGCGAAGAATTTTTTCTCTAAATTTACTTCTGGCGATTGTTTACAGTTCTAAGACGAAGCGTTTTCATTATTTCCAGTGCGTCTAATATCTCCATCTTTATTGATATGATCACAACGTTTCGACCACTGTACACCACGGCCATCTTCAGATGGCAGGAAACGATAGCCTAAAGGATTAAAACTTCCGTTCTTGAATTTGATCGCAGAGTAATTGTGCGTTCACTCATTTGGGTCGGGTAGTGCAGACATAGAATTAATAAAGCCAGGATTAGTAATAAAAAAAAACAGGGCTAAAAACGAAAAACACGACATATATTTAAATCATAATAGAAGCAATGAGGAAGGATCTCAATACATAGCCGCTTCCTTTTTTAACGGTATAAAAATCGAAGCATACCCTGCTCTAACCGCAGGGTATACACGGCGTTATTCAAAGCAACAGAAATGCTCACATTCCGCCCTGGGTATGACGATAAACTACATCCGCGTCCTGAGAAAGACGATAAACTAATGCAAGGACTCTGTTCACGAGGTTTTGAGGAGCGTGGAACCACATCTTAATTGCTGGTCTTCCCAGGTCCATCCTGACCCGGGGTGGTAGCATTTGTTAGGGTCCCAACTATGGACAAACAGTTAACCCCAAACTGGGTTCAAAACACTATGAAAGTGTAAAAATAATATAAATTTTATGAGGAAAAATTATAACCAGCAATAATTTTTGAAGAAAAAATTATTACCAGCAATATATTATTAACGGCAATACAATCTTGAACAAAAATACCACCAGCAAAAAAAAAAAAATAAAATATTGTTGTCATTAAATAACCTACTGAGTTTGATATGCCGTAAAACAAAATAAACCAAACCAATCTAAACCAAAGAATACATATTCTATTCATACGAATCTTTTCTAAAAATGTTGCTGGCATTAAATAACCCATTGAGGTTGATATGCCGTAAAACAAAATAAACCAATCTAAAGTAAAGAATACATATTCTATTCATACGAATCTATCCTAAAATGTTGTCGGCATTAAATAACCCACTGAGTTTGATATGACGTAAAACAAAATAAACCAAACCAATCTAAAGAAAACAATACATATTCTATTCATACGAATCTGTCCTAAAAATGTTGCTGACATTAAATATCCAATTGAATTTGATATGCCGTAAAACAAAATAAATCAAACCAATCTAAACCAAAGAATACATATTCTATTCATACGAATCTATCCTAAATCTTTGCTGGCATTAAATAACCCAGTGAGTTTGATATGCCGTAAACCAAACCAAACCAAACCAAACCAAACCAAACCAAATCACTTCAACATCCACAGCTCATACGAAAAAAAAAAGAACCAAAATTTCGTCCATCTCTGTGCACCCACTTCTGAAATACCATCCAAATTTTCAAAAGTCATAAAACATCATTTCTTGAATCAGAAAAAAAAAATACCACGTGGTCTAATTTCATCCGCGAAGGTTGGCATAAACGAGGGATCCCACGGCAGGCAAGCTTAACCAGGTCATCAGCAGCGATACTAAGGCGCTTCCATCAACTATCGCTCGACTACAACAATGCTATAATTCAGTGATGGGAAAACTGCCACATGCGGCCCGTTTGGCTTTCTAAGTAACACTCCTAATTTTATGAGGTAAATAACGTTTATTAAAATTTGGTTTATTTCATTCTCAGCTGTTCACTCACATTTTCTCATACATTCTTGTTCTTTACGTCGTGATCTTCTGCTCTGGGCACTTAGCCATAGAGCGAAACGGGTTGGTCTCGCAGCAACCGCCTACACTAACCAGCTATGTTATGAAACGGAATGTCACCCTAATGATCTTACGACCTTGATAGAGGACCGTGGTTTTTGGCGTGATGGACACATGAATATTCCGAGCTCGCACGACCGAATAATAAATGTTAAAAAATTGAGCCATCACATACCATTTTAGAAGCACAGTTGTTGATACTGTTGTAGCATACGGACGGACGATAAAGGGTATGCCTCCATTCACATAAATACAGTAGTAAATACTGTATGTTGGTCTGCAGTTGGCGATTCGTCTCCAGCTGTGCTGGTCAAACACTTTGCTTCCGGGCAGAAAGGATCCCCAGATGAAGCTATGTCGAAAGGCAGAGTCTTGTCTTGGGAAACAGCTACCAGACCCCGTTTTATACAGGGAATTTGGGGATTGTCCCACATCCCATTGTGCCACATCCTACCCCGTGGGGAGGCTGGTAAATATTATTAGCTGGGATCTGTTACTCGGCTCTTAGCTGTTGTCGAACCCGGACGAGACTATGCCGAAGGGCAGAGTCTCGTCCGGGGAGATAGACAGACCCTAACCCGTTTATGCGGGGTTTACGGGGAATTTTGGGGAGAGCCTACGGTCTTGCATTGGCCCCACATTAAATTCAGCCTTGTGCAACATCCTTCTCCGTGGGGATTCTGGTAAATATCGACTAGATGGAAACATTTCCAGCTGTGCTGGTCGAACTCTCTGCCTCCGAGCAGAGAGGGTCCCCAGACGAGATTATGTCGAAGGACAGTGACGTCTCGGAAACAAATACACGACCCCGTTTTATACGGGGTATACGGGGAAATTTTGGACGAGCCAACAGGCTCGGATTACCCGGCATTAAACTCGGCCTTGTGCCACATCCTGCTTCGTGCGGAGTTTGATAAATATCGACTAGCTGGAATTGCACATATGATTTAATGATAGTGGTGAAGACTTGTCAAGAACCAACCAGACATTTTGGATAGCCGAATACATAGAACTCGTACATAGCTTACCGCAATATCCCGAAACAGTTCTATTCAGGTTTTGAAATTGTCCCTCTCGTAGACCAGTTGGAACTCATGGCTACAGGATACAGCCTGTCCTGATATTTACCCATAACTGGGAAGAGAAGGGTATTTGCACGCAAGTGAATATAACTCGATTATATATATATATATATATATATATATATATGTGTGTGTGTGTGTGTGTGTGTGTGTGTGCGTGTGTGTGTGTAAGAGGTTGTAGTTCCAACGATAGAAAAGTGTATATTTTAAAAAGAAGAGAGAAATGGTTGTAATGTGTGTGTGTTTTAAATATATATTATTGTTTATTTTCCATGTAATCTAAATATATTTCTTTAAATTAAATATCTACATTTAATAGTGAAATCCTCAAATATCATTATGAATTCAGTTATGTGCCATGCGTGATACTTTCGATCCATGACTGACGAGGCAGATTTTTCCCACAGTGGGTTGCCATTTCTTTCTGCGGTAGACCAGTTGCCATCCAAGGCTATAGAACCCGGTCTGTACTACTATTTACTCATAGCTGGTGAGAAGAAGAGGAGTCATACCTCACCCAAGGGTATTAGCATGTAATGAATTTGACTGGAATTCGAACTCAGCTCTCCGATTCCTCAATCTGAGCCGTTATCCATTACTGCACCGTGTATCCACTATGGATTACTACTGTTATTATGGATACCTTCATTCATTCTAAGGTTGGTCTATGATTTCTACTTTGCACTAAGTTTAAGAGTGGGCTTTTACAAATTCTTCTGTGAGGAGAGCAGAAATCTATTTTCTAGATGCAGCTATAGATTTCAAGATAACATAATTTACAAGATTAATGAATATAAAGTGGTGAAAATTATGGAGCTTATAGTCATTTTCCAAGCGTAGCTTAGATGTGGCACAAGGCCGAAAGTTGGGACACCCAGTGAGGATCGAACTCACTATTCATTCGTAATTGTTTTAGCGAGACAAGCTTGTTAACCATTACACCACCGAGGTGCCCAATGATTTTCTAAGATAGCTTAGATGTGGCTCAAGGCCGAAAGTATGCGGCGCTCAGTGAGGATCGAACTCACTACTCAGTCATAATTGTTCTAGCGAGACAAGCTTGTTAACCATTACACCACCTGAAGTTGCCCAGAGATTTTCCAAGCGTTGCTTAGATGTGGCACAAGGGGGGAGGGTAACCCAGTAAGGATCGAACTCACTATTCATTAGTAATTTTTTTAGCGAGACAAGTTTTTTAACCATTACACTACCGAGGTGCCCAATGATTTTCTAAGATAACTTAGATGTGGTTACTCAGTCGTAATTGTTCTAGCGAGACAAGCTTGCTAACCATTACACCACGCCAAGGTGCCAATTGTGGAGTTTATATAATATATTCGATATATTTATTTCGCATTTGTAGATCCTTACGCGCACCCACTGAGATCATTTCTATAAACTCAGCGGTACCCGGAAACTTCTTGGTGCTCACATATCTCAGCGATATAATTAACGCACAGCAGTTTCTTTTCCCTTGCCTTTCCGCTTCTTTCCATAATCGGCAATAAGTTCATTGGGTCTTGTTATCCCAAGAAGAATCTTGAAAACGCATAGAACAGTCGTACATCTGTTGGAGCTCGAGGCATAAGCAAGTTGCGCGCATGCACCACACGAAATTAAAAAGAAAAAAAAAAGAAAAAGAAAAGAAAAATGAAACAACTCGACGTTTGCGTTGGTAGAAAACATCTCAGCGTCCACTCCTCCACCATGTTCCCTAACATTTCGATTCTCCAGAGCTTAGAGAGTTCTACACGCCATCTGCGCAAATATGGGGCGT